GGCAGGATATTGCGGACAGAGGGCTCGTTTTCAAAGCTCTCTGGGCTCAGTGGAATTCACTGGTTATTGAGAATGGATTGTTAAAGCGCACATGGGAAAGTGCGGATGGCAGCACAGTAACAACTCAGTTACTGGTACCAAGGAAGAAAGTTACCCAGGTATTGGAAGAAATTCACGGTGGTAAAACTGGAGCCCATCTTGGGGTAAACAAGACCTTGAGCAAGCTGAGAGATCGCTTTTACTGGGTGGATTATTGCGAAGATGTCAAGAAATGGTGTCGACAATGTAAAATTTGTGCAGCCAGCCAAGGACCAAGCACTCGATCTAGGGGAAAAATGAAACAATATAACGTTGGACTGCCATTCGAAAGAATCGCTGTTGACATTGCAGGCCCATTCCCTGAAACGCACAAGGGCAACAAGTACGTTTTAGTGGCGATGGATTATTTCAGTAAATGGCCAGAAGTTTTTGCCATTCCAAACCAAGAAGCATCGACTGTAGCTGAAGTATTAGTCATAATGTCTTCAGTAGATTTGGAATTCCTTTAGAGCTTCACACTGACCAAGGAAGGAACTTCGAGTCAAGACTGTTCCAGAAGATGTGTGATCTGCTTGGTATTCACAAGACTAGGACAACAGCTTTACATCCGCAGTCTGATGGGATGGTCGAGAGATTCAATAAGACCATTGAAGAACATCTCTCGAAAATGGTGGATGAACATCAAAGAGATTGGGATCAGCATATACCACTATTCCTAATGGCATATAGAAGTGCAGTTCACAACACCACCGGACTTTCACCATCGAAGATTTTATTTGGTCGAGAATTACGGTTGCCTTGTGACTTGGTGTTCGGATCACCAGACGACAGCACCACGAACGTAGAGGACTACGCGGATGAACTGAAGGAAAGGTTATTGGGAATTCATAAGGCCGTGAGAAGTAAGATTACGCTAGCCAGTGACCGGATGAAAGCTCGTTACGACCTCAGAGCTAATTCTACGGGATTTCAACAGGACGATATGGTATGGTTATATAACCCACAGCGCAAGAAAGGGAGGTCCCCAAAGTTAACTCCAGCATGGGAAGGTCCTTATACAGTCATCAAGAGGATAAATGATGTTGTGTACCGGATTCAACGCAGCCCTAGAAGTAAGATGAAAGTAGTTCATCTGGATCGATTGAGAGATACCAGACAGGAAACCTTGATCGGGACGATCAAATTTGAAAAAGGGCAATGTCAAAGGTGTATTACTGGTTGCATAACTGCATACTGCTAAAAAATCGCAACGTGGAAGGAACCTGGCGCATTCGCCAGAAAAAGTAAAGAAAATTATAGAATTCTTTAGAAAAATCTAGAAACAACCGCCAGAGTATATAAACCCCCTTGCTTTGACAGTTGGAAGTTTAAAAGTTTGAAGTCTGAAGAAGTCTAAGTCTGAAGTTTGAAAATACCGCGAAATACCGTTAGAGTAATAGTAGTTGCATAAGTTGTGTTGTAAATAGTATAAGTTGTGTGTACAGAGTGAAACAAATAAATTCGTTAAGTATTTTATCGTGAGTTTAAATAGTGGACCCACGGAATCCGTAACAATATAAGTGCTGTTTTGTAAAATTTTCAGCTTTCAAAAATAACGAAAAACTGAGAATAAAAAGTTTTTATTTAGATATTACATATCGATACTCAGCGGCGGATACAGTACAGTACCCCCCCCTTCGCTCTAAAACAGTAAATTGGATTAAATATTAGGCTTTTGGATTAAAAATTGCGTCCTAAAAAGCAAATTCTATATTACTTTTAATTTGGACCCCCCTAAAATAAATTCCTATATACACCCCTGTTGATACTGCAATAACCCTTCACTTTTTATTTTATATACAGGGTTGTTCACCACATACGACACGAAGTATTGCAGCTAAACGATTAAATTTTTACAAATTGTAAGTTTTGGGTTCGTTGAAGGACTATTAGTGCTACAATTTAAGAACATTTTTACAGAGTGTCCCAAATAAGTAAAAAATATTATAGTTGTATTTTTTTAAATGGAACACCCTGTATATTATTCTATTTTTAGATTCTACGATTGAAATGAAGGTAAATTTGATTAAGGTTTATCACACTTAAACCTTAGCGTTTTTGAAATATTTTCAATTTTGTAAAATTGCAGTAAAAAATCTAAGGCTTCATTTCTCCATGGGTATCAAAGTTTTTAATACTAAATATTTACTGAAGATTATTTATTGATCAGATATTGTGTTGCAATAATAAAAATTATATCATCTTATACAGAGTGTCCAAAAATTTATATTAAATAATTACTAGCTTTAAACGACAATAACTTGTTTAATTTAAATGGAACACCCTGTATATTTTATGTGAATCACATGCACAATTTAGTTGTCTATCAAATTGTGTTATACCATTATTTACCTATCTCTTCAAGTTTTCGTAGAAAATACATTTTCTTAATTTAGACCTCATTTATCACTATACCCATGGAATATTGACGTTTTAGATTTTTTTAAAGCAACATACGTACAAAATATACAGGTAGTAGAAATAATAATATTGCAAGCCTATTTTTTTACAATATACCAATTAAATATACCATCATTTTTCCGCCCAAAAATTAGTTAATTGCATTACTGAATTGTTTTAATTAATAAATTATTCTAAATAAATGTGGATTTGACTCAGAAATCAATATAATAACAATTTATTAAAATGAACGTTATAAATAAGTATTTGTCAAAAAATTAAATAAAATTTATAAGGTGTTACTTTTTACCACACTGTCTAATACACATACAAAATTCAGTTTTTTAGTATTTGGAACAATTATTATTAATCAACGTAAACAGTCAATTAATGTAGTTTGAATCACAAAACACATACACAAGAAGAAGTGCGAGCGCCTTGCTAAATATTGGAAAGTGAAATTGACGTTTAAATTTGACACTGTTGACAAGTCTACTGCTACTAGCGCCCCCAATTTCGCTTGTAGGAACTACGGACTAAATTGTCACGCATGGCGGGAAATTTAAAAATAAAAAAATTTATTTCTTCATTTATTTTTAATTATGACATACACAAAAACACAAAAAATACACCATTTTTTAAAAATATGTTTAATATCAATATCAAATATACAACAGAAATTAATTTCACCACAATAAATTAATAAAATTAAAAGAATAATGTTACAAGTAGATCAAGAGACAAAATTAATTATAACAAAACTGAAAAAAATGGCGTCATAGATGGCTTAGAAATAAAAGATATATCATAATTTTGAAAGTAAAATTATATGGGAAATGTCTTCGATCATCATTTTTAAGCCAACTGGACGATTATTTCAAACATACAAGCTGAGTTCGTTCATAGTGCTCTGAGAAATCTAGATAAACAAAGAATAATAAATTAAAAGTATTCCAGGGGAAAAGAGAGGAAAAACCTGTATCGTCTCTGATATCTGTCAGGGTATTGTTGAAAGTGTCATCTTTTTGCTCGAAGTTTTCAGGTCGATCAAAAAGATGACATTTACAACAATACTTTGCTGTAACTTTCACAAATATCAGAGAGAGTACATACAGGTATTGCCTCTCTTTTCCTCTGGGATGCTTTATATCTGTTGTTCTTTGTTTATCTATATTTCTCAGAGCATAATGCCGAACACGACTACAGTATATAATAATTTCAATATCCGAAGTGGAAAGAAAAAAGATCACCTTTCTGTTTTGTACTATGGTCCCTTTCTTCCGATGGCTCATCTCGTTGATATTTAGGAAGGATAAATAGGAAGGAAAATATAAAATTCAATTTGATTTGATGATCCTTTTCTGTCACCTAAAATCAGGAGAACGACAATGAGCATGTTAAGATGAAAAAAAAATTATCAACACTTACCTACACGTTAGTCCGAGGAGTTTTATTAAAACCTATATATTTGCCTAAATAATTTATGTATTAAATTTGCAAAGCAAAATGCAGCGTGTAAACAAAAGAAATAAAATGGCGACAAGTCAACGTCAACGACCCGACAAGGAGAAAAGTGGTGTTCGAATAACAAATTATGGGTCACCAAAAATTGTTTTTGTCTCCTTTCAACGCACACTTTAGAAAGAAAAAGAGATGAACTGGAATATTGAAAGAACGTCAAGGCTTTATCTGTCACTCTTGTCAATAATTTATCGGTAAGGAAGATTCCTAGAAAATCGCTTGTAGTCAAGTTTTCAACCATTGCCAGTTCTCCCATAAGAAGTGTCATCCACCTGGTTTGAATACTGGGATCATATTAATTGGTCCTCTTTAACAAAAAATATTTAAACAGTTTTTTTTTTAATTTATTTTAATAAAATAAGCGAACTATATCGACAATATTAGTATCTGGTACCCTTTGAAAATTTGTTACATCTTTAAAAATAATCTAAAATGTCAATATTCCATGGGCATAGTGATAAATGATGTCTAAATTATAAGAAAATGCATTTTCTACAAAAACTTGAAGAGATAGGTAAAAGATGGTATAATACAATTTGATAGACAGTTAAATTGTGCATCTGATTCTCGTAAAATATACAGGATGTTCCATTTAAATTTAAGAAGTTAAAAGCGTTTAAAGCTAGTAATTATTTTATATAAATTTTTAGACACTCTGTATGAGGTAGTATTATTTTTATTATTGCAACGCAATAACTGATCAATAAATAAACTTCAGCAAAATATTTAGTATTAAAAACTTTGATAACTTTGGAGAAATGAAGCCTTAAAATTTTTACTAGGTAGTAAAGGTAGTATTTTGTTTATTATGGCAACACAATATCTGATCAATAAATAAACTTCAGTAAATATTTAGTATTTTATTTTTGTTCTTGTTTGGGGCTGTTCTTAGCAACCGCTATAGCAGCGCCCTACAACGTATGCGCTCCAAAACAATTATAAGTTTTGGCGGCAAGCCGAGCATTCCAATCTAAACTTGTTTCCTTTATCTATGTAATTACCTTTCCTCCTGCCAATCCCCCAACAACTGAGCATATAACACCTACACTCTTGACAAACAGTGTTCTTATTCTTACAACTCTGGGTACTTTTACACCATTTAGATAGCATTTCACTTGAGGGATACCACTACCAGCAGCAATTGGTTCAACATATGCTACTAAAATTGATCCTATTAAAACTGGTATAACATTATAAAGTGCCCAAAGAAAATACGGTATATACAACTTTCCCTGGGTGACATACTGATCCACACCTGTTTAACAACTGTTAAGAAAAATTAACAATTTTTTATAGTTTTCAAATATAGAATTTATTGAAGTCTGGAATACATTAATATAAACAAAAGGATACTTTTACTTAATTTGGCATATTTGATTTCACTTAATTCTTCAATTAAAATATCAATAATACAGGCTAGAAGAGCAGTAAACATTCCTATAAGTAAAAAAATAAACCATCTTGCTATATTTTTCTTTACAATAAATCGGTATCCTTTTTTTCTATCTTCATCTAGTAGTAGATGGTTTTCACAAGTATCATAATCTAAACTCTTAAAAGAAAAATAAGGGTGGATAAACGTTATATTCAAACATGTAACATATGTTACATATATAATATGTAACAAACTCTTTGCATTTTTCTCTCTCCAACTTACAAAATCGACATAACGATTCACTCCTAGACATGTAAAAAGCCCAAGACTCTTTCTTGCCAACCCTGTATGTACCATACCATCAAAACTGATTTATAAATATATTCTGTTATCATACAAAGCCCACTTGCTTATAGATTTTTGAACATATATGCATATAATTATGTATAATATATTAATTTAAATACAGCAGTGGCGGCTCGTGACTCGTGTGACTGGGTAGGCGACAAAATTTTAGTTCCGTCTATTTGCCCCCCCCCCCCTAATTTACATAATACCCTAGCCCAGTTTGTAAATATACGTTATATCTGGGTTAAAAACATAGCTCAAAAATATTTAGGACAAAACTAAAGCAAAAATAACAGCATTCAACGTAATGACATAATGATTGACATAATGTACAAGTATATTTTTTATTAATCTATTTTATCTATTATTTTTTTTATCTATTACTATGGAGTCACTATGGAGTACATCATAGAATTTTATTTTATTTTTATTTATTTACGCAAACTTAAAAATTGATAGTATTGAGAGAAAGAATAATCATGTTTTATATATTAAATTGATGAGTAGGTCTCTTAATAAAGAAAAGTTATTTATTATTATATCAGTAAAATCATCAGATTGTTGAAGAGCTGTGAAAAGATTTTTTTAGATTGAAAGTAAGACAAGTGGCGATAAACGTTTATTTTTCATGGAATCTTTACTGTAAATTTTAATGCATTTCAAACATGAAAAATGTCTCTCAATCCAATTACTTGTAAATGGTGTAGTAACAAACAAAACAAACAATTTGAAAGCCTCTACAAATATATTTCCAGGATTATTCTCCTTAAATTATTTTATGCTCGAAATTATCATATGCGTTGGAAGTTGGAAATGTATCAATATAACAAGTTTCTTAAATTAGATGTTAAATGCGTTGGAATTGTTTTATAGGATTCTTTAAATTTCGGATCCGCAAGAGATAAATAAAAATAATTTAGACATACGAGTACCTATCTGCAAACCTTATTTCTAAATGTATAACAATGTTATCTAATATTCCATAAAATAAAATTCGGAAAGACATTTCACTTAGCCGCTTTTATTAACATATCGAATTGAAATAGTACAGAGACTTTTCTGTAATATCTGTGGTATCGTCTTTTTGCACCGAATAAAATAACGCGCTTTTTTATTTCGGATTCTTTTATTTCTGTGGCGTGTTCTGAAATACAACCGGTTATATCATTTTTAATAATTTCGGACAAGCCAGAAAAATGTTTCCAATTTGCTTTAAAAGTTTTTTGAATTTTCATATAAAAGTTTTAACTGCTACGTATAATGAATGATATGAAATATCCCCTTAACGAAATATGATATATCTCCTTATGAAATATCCGGAATATCCCCTTAACATCTAAGCCTACCGAGCCTCCACGACTTCATGCGAAGGCGACCGGAGATTTCGCCTAAGCCCCGCCTTAATATGATACAACTCACGATGAGTTAAGCTACATTCTAAATCAATTCGCTGGCCGAGTCGTACTTTGGCACGCAAGCTTATCTTATGTACTTCGTGTACTCATTCACAACAAAATTCGACGCCAGAGTGCAAGTTGAAGTTGGATTGAAAGCTTTGATTGCAAACTTCCACTTCAGCACGGAATTTTCGTTTGACAATTATGACAAATTTGACATTTAAATTTTAATAATTATTTTGTTTGTGTCGTTGTTACAAGCCATTTTCCTGTGAAAAGTAAATAATTATTAAAAAGGTGTCCGACCCATATTAATGGCGAGAAAAAGTTTTGGGTGCTTGAGACACATTTTAGAAAAAAATCATCAATAAATGACGTTTTTGTTTCCATTTTTCTAAACATAAAAACTTGGAAAACTTAATTAACAACTGTCCCGGATTTTGACTCTTCCAAAATCAAAACCAACAACTAACTTAAAAAATGTCAGGAGAACGTTTAAACACGCATGCGCAAAATTCGAATTGAAATTTGTTGTGAATGGTTAATTTCGTGCCGACTTTAACGTCGAAGTGCCACTCGGCCAGCGAATTGATTTCGAATGTAGCTTTAGATAGAGACAGAAGACTGCCGTACGTCGTGCATCGACTCTGATAGTAGGCGATGTAGAAATCGCCGAACAAAGGCACTTCAACGGCCAAAATTATTTTGTTTTCTCGCAGCGGCAGCGGCATAGTCAGCGGTCAGCGTATGCCAGCGGTAGTGAATATGTTAATATACAAGACCAAAAATATTAAAATAATATTGATTATTAAAACACACTTCCGTGTATTAACAGTATTTTTATGTATTGGCAACATTAATAGTAAATAATGTAATATAATAAATCGCTTAAATTCTGCCAAAATCTTAGGGTAGGCGCCGCTTACCTTGCCTACTTGGAAAACTTACCTTGCCTACCCTGACGAACCGCCACTGAAATACAGTATGATCAAAATAAGTTTTATGATAAAGAATCAAGAGTGCTTTACATTTTTGCATTGTAACATAAACATTTCTTATAGGAAACTATACAAGATAATCGAAAAATTTTACATGTAAAATTATATGGACAATGTAGTTGATGTTCAAATTGGTTGAACATTGGATGTTGGAATTTTAAAAAATTAATTTTATTATCGATTATCAATGATCATATAATATAAATTAAATTTAACATGGTAATGTTAAAATAAATACCGTATGATGAAAAAAAAAACGGCGTCCAGTTGGCTTGGAAATTACGATCAATGACATTCCCCATATAATTTTACAAACAAAATAATAGCCATCTTCATTTCCAATTTCCAAGCTACCTCTCACGCCGTTTTTTTTTCGATTGTATGGTATAAACTAGTAATAAAATATAGGAAACTAACTTTTAATTTAAAGTCTTACATTTTTAAGAATCAATATTACATAGGTCATAGGTGCTGTTAGCCCTTAATGGAATTTACTAATTTACTGAGAATGCATAATACCTAATTTTTAAGCATTGAAAATTATATATTATTAAAAGTTTAAGATGTTTTTTAAGCATGCCGAGTAATATTTATGTATTACTGTTTGCTGTATTAAGCATTAATAATAATTTTTCACCTCATATTTTGCAGAGAGTATGTTGAGCGAACCTATATCGACCTTTTCATTATTTACTTCTACTCTTCTACGAGCAGAAGAGAGAAGAGTGGTTTCTTCATTACTTGCTATTACAGAATCATCTGTATCTTCATAATTTACACTGCTTGTTGACGGTAAATTCTATACAATACAAAACATAATTGTTAAGAGAAGATAGGATATATTAATAATTTAATTATGGTATTACCTGAAACCTAGTTGGTCTTTGATGCTCAGTTTCATCTGTGTATACCGAATTAATGCTTTCTGGCATAGTAGATTAAGAAAATCAGTTCAACAGATTCACTATAATTCACCACTAAAACAAAGATGATATAAATATTTCGTATTCTATTTCACCTCCTAGATTCTACTTTAAAATTATCACTTAATTCATATTGTTCTGTTTGATAAAATTAATATTCCTTGTTATTCATAAATTATAGAAGTCTTGCATTATTAGACAAACGTTCTAGACAATAAAAACCTTGTCTGCGACATAGATAAAAACAAAAACAATAAATCTAATCATGTAATGAAATTGAGGTTATGGGTGGTTTGGTTTTCGAAGGGTTTTCGCTTGTTTTCGTAAATTGATTCACGGATTCTGATAGGTCTGATCTTTGGTCTGATTCGTGCAGTGAAGCAGTGTTGCCACTACCAAAATTTTATTTTCGGTAGACTAACTTCAAAATTTGGTAGAAATCGGTATATAGATTGGATATTTAACACGTATTTTATTTAGAAATTTTGTACAAATTGCACTACAAAATTATTTTTTAATATCTATGACATAAAAATAATCCATAGAATCAAAATCTGTAGAAAATATAGTCTTTTCGGTAGATTGATAGATGGACTGCCAAATCGGCAGATCTACCGAAAAATGGGATGAAGTGGCATCAGTGCAGTGAAGTGATTTCGTGATTAGTTTATGATTATTGATTAGTCACAAGTCATTAGACTTTGAAACAATGAAATTGGGCTTTCCCCTCTAAAATGGAGTGAAGTGCGGGTATTTATTTTTTGTTTTGGGGATTCCCCTGTAGGGTTCCCATAATAAGCCCATAACAGGTTATTGTTTTATTTTATTCAAAGGTTTTATCAAAGCTGGGTAACTATTTCAAATTAAAATATTTATACCTAGATATACACACAAAATACAAAATGCCATATTCTTTAAAAACTATTGAAAAAATATTTTCTATTTTGTATTTTAAATAGAAAAAATAAGCCATATTTTCTATTTTAAATAAAAAACGATTATAAAGATGAAATACCGTATGATCGAAAAAAAAACGGCGTCCACTCGGCTCGGAAATGAACATCAATCATTTGAAATTTGTGTAATTTTATTATAAAAATACTGTGTAATTTTATTATCCTTTGAAATTGTTACAAAATAACGCATCGCCCAGTATGGGTTCTTTTTCACTTAATTTTTACTACCCGCAACGGCATTACATCATACAAACTCCGCATCTGATAATTTTAGTTTCAATAGCTGCGCTAGTAAAAACCTTAGATTAAGAATATAAAGTAATAACTAAAATACTTAAATATGTCATATGACAAAGCCATGATTTTAATGTTATTCCAATGTTATCAACATAAACTGTAATCGTGAAATACAGTCAGTTCTGATTTCTGCCGTACCGAGCGCTGCTGTCGAAATTTTAAAAATCAACTGAAATGTGCCCCAAGCCTATAAAATAATGGTCAAGTTAATAACGTTTCGAGAGCATAGAGCCCAAGCAATTAGGGCTATACCGGGTGCGCCTCGAAAGTGGTATAGAAGAGTTTTTTTAACATGAATTAGACCAAATTGTATTCTATTTTTGTTCTTTCAAAAGTAAAATATCTTGCTTAGAAACATTCGTCGACCTAGTGAATACTTTGTGATTAAGGGTTTTACAACATGGCTAAGTTTCTTTTTCAGTACATTGTCATCCTCTGATTCACTTAGCTCGTCATTGGTCTCTTTTATTTCCAATGTTTTCGTTTGTAAGTTTATACTCTTTAATTAATTTGTCACTGGGTTATTCTTTGGTCAAGCCAGAGACAAATTATTTTTCTCCTTAGCTTCATTTACAATTCTTTTTTTATTTCATACCTGATATTGATTCAAAATATAGCATTTCGGAACAGCAAATGTATAATGTTACATCTGCTTTCCTTCCTTGTCAATGCAATCCAATAGTTTTTTTCTACAAAGAAAAGACTGCAAACAGTTTGAAGTCATTGACTTTAGTTCTTATACCAGGTGCGTCTCAAAAGTGACTCACCCCTATAACTTTTATATTTTTTTAGGTAAAAAAACGAGATTTGGTATGTATATGACATAAATTAGGATTGATTGACGTATTCAATTGTTTTTGGTCACTTCCTGTTTCGCCGGAAATGACTACAACTTTTGATTTTTAAATGGCACTCTCGGTATTTTTTTACTTTATTCGAGAGAAAATGACATTCTGAATAGAATGACATATCATATGTCAACTTTTGACATTATCGCTTAAAAAAAATCGTATTTTAAACCTCAATCTAGAGTGCCATGGCTATGTAAAAACATTGTCCTGGACAGTTAGAAAATTAGTAAATCGTTAGAAAATACAGTCAAATCGTATTTTTAATCATATCTCAATTTTTTCAAATAGGGTGGTTAATTAGCATATTTGGAAAAAGCATATTTTTACGAATAATTTGATACCACACACTTGGTATTTCGAGTCAAATTTTCGTTATGAACCGCAAGTTATAATGTGAAATAAACCATATGCAGAAATGTCAAAAGTTGACGTATGATGAGTCATTCTATTCAGAATGTTATTTTCTATAATATATATATATATATATATATATATATATATCAAATATATATATATATATATATATATATATATATATATATATATATATATATATATATATATATATATATATATATATATATATATATATATATATATATATATATATATATATATATATATATATATATATATATATATATATATATATATATATATATATATATATATATATATATATATATATATATATATATATATATATATATATATATATATATATATATATATATATATATATATATATATATATATATATATATATATATATATATATATATATATATATATATATATATATATATATATATATATATATATATATATATATATATATAATATATATAATATAAAGTCAAAAAAATACCGAGGGTAAAGTTGTAGTCATTTTCGGCAAAACAGGGAGTGACCGAAAAAAATTGAATACGTCAATCAATCCTAATTTATGTCATATACTAACACACCAAATTTTGTTTCTTTAACTAAAAAATAAAAAAGTTATAGGGGTGAGCCACTGGGTGAGCCACTTTTGAGATGCGCCCGGTATAGTATGTTTCCTAAGTATGCAGAGTTGGTCATCACATACGACACGGAGTATTGTAGTTAAACGAATAGATTTTTGCAAATTGTTCTTCAAAAAGTTTAAAAATACAATTTAAAAATTAACAATTTTATACATACAATTTAAAAATATTTTTACAAGATACAGAGTGTCCCAAATAAATAAAAAATATCAAATTTGTATTTTTTTAATTAGAACCCCAAGTAGCATTTGGACGTTATCTAACGTCGGGTATACGTCGCGTTCAATAAACCCGACGTTGGGTACCAACGTCGGTTCGACCACCTGACGACCCTGATTTGCACCTAAATGGGGAATACAGATTCGGGTCGCCTCGACGTCGGTATCTGACCTAATAGGGAATGTAATTCTACCAATTACCAATGTCATATTACGTTGGATTTTAGTTACTTAAAATTCGTCGCTAAGCACTTACCTACCTTAGGTTTGGTTTCATACTTGTTTCATATTCGCTACCAAGAATACATAAAAACCTAACCAAACAACCTAATTACAAATGGATTCATAATCACTCCTCGAATATAACTATAAGTGCCTATCTAATTTCATATTATAATAATTCTGAATCATTAATCCAGACATCAGTTTTGTCAACGGAAGTCACTTTTTTATATATCTGATTAAAATACTCCGGAAAACAACGAGCGCCTTCAAAATTAGTAGTAGTAGATTTATGAAATAAAAATATCTATAAAAAAGTAACTCGCAAATTTTTTTTTCAATTTTCTAGCTCGTTTAATCATAAAACTGTACTGTGGTTCACCCCAAACACAACCTTATCAATATTATTCTACTAGAAATCGAAATGTGAATATAAATTTTAAAAACAAAAAACGATTTTAAAATGGCTGACAATCGGATCTGTGAATCGGATACTTGTTAAGAATGGCGGATTTCTGTGTCCGACTTAATATGAAGTACCAATATACCAATTCCGACCGGGTCTCCAACATTAGTCGTCTCACACGACTGAAACCGGACGACCGGTAATCGTATTATGACGTATATAATTCCAACGTACGCCACGTAACCTCACTTTGCGTATCAGTGATTTGTGGATTTGTGCAACTATATATTAGTTTTTTGTTTTCTCCTTAAAAAAAATGGGCAGCCACTTTTTTAAGCCGAACCTCACATGTGGGAGGAGGATGGGGTCTGCTGATTTCCTAAGCTAAAAAATGAAATTAAGATGCACCAGTGTAATGCAGCATCTCTTCCGGATAAAAAGCATTTATGGGTGGAGGCAAGACATCACTACTACTAGTATTATTTTGCAAAAGCCTCGACCTCTTTCTGTAAAATGTAGATGAATGTCTAAATGCCTTTTTAGTGTTTTTTAGGCATAATAAAAAAATTAAGTTTGTTTACAAAAACTTTTTATTAGGTTATGTTCATGATGTTCATTAGGTCGCAAATGCTACTTAAAGGGTTGTATTTACTGACGTAAATAGAGATACGTAAATTAGGTTATAAATATGAACATAAAATACAATAAAATATAATTGAACGTTAGTTTAGGGATTATCAGTGAGACGTATCCTATTCGGACAACGGGTAGACGTCGCGCTAGTTCAAGTATATGTACGTTGTGCAAGCCAACGTGGGAACGACGTTGGGAAATTAATAAAAATGGTACGTTGTTATTTTGTACGTCGACAGATCGTTGGATTTACCGACTCGGATCCAACGACGTCGCTTTTAATAGGAAAGCGACGTCACCGGTCGTATCACCAGCACCCGACCTAAATTTGCACAAAGTCCGACGTCGCTTCAGGTCAGATTTAGTTCGAAGTCAGATAGATGCTACTTGGGACACCCTGTATATTATTACATTTTTAGTTTCTACGATAAAAATAAAGGTAGATTTGATTAAGGTTTACCGCATTTTAATCTTACCGGTTTTGAAATATTTAGGTTTTTCTCAAAATACAGTAATTGCTTTTTTGCATTTTGCACAGTAATAATAAATGCTTCATTTCTCTATGCGTATTTAAGTTTTTAAAACCAAATATTGTACTGAAGTATTTCTATTTACTAAATTTTGTGTTACAATAATAAAAAATTATACTATCTTATACAGAGTGTCTAAAAATTTATTTTAAATAATTACTAGTTTTAAACGGCAATAACTTGTTTAATTTAAA